TAATTTTAGTTTTTAAATAAATTATTATGTCTAATATTATTTTAAAATATTATGAAAATATTGTATACATATATAAGTATATAAGTTAGATACAAGGATACCAACAATGAGATACATAAATTGTTTAAAAAATTTTAATGGCAAGATTGAAGTGTCTATTTCTTGAACACCTTGAATATAAATGTTATTCCTTTTTCTTTGTTTCATATGTTTATGGAATATATATACACACACACACACACAAATCTCTTCATCTCTCATATGATATCTCCTTCCTTTAAGTTGATATCATACAATGAACAATATATAGAATGCACATATGGATTTGATGACGCATCAGCAGTTCATTTCAAGTCTTTCTTTCAATGAGTTGAGGGTGGCCCAAAGTAGGAGTCCCAAGGAGTTCACTTACTCACTCACTCACTCACTCACTTTCAGGACATGGACCATGAGTGAAAGGGCAGGAGGGACAAAGCAGTAACTAATCATTAGCTAATTTCATGTTTGCAATGTGAGAGCTGGCTTGGGCTAAAGCTTGATATGTAATAAACTCACAATTATTTAGAAAAGTATTCTGTAATAACTTAATGTTTAAATTGTGTTGAAATCAAGGCATGCATGAATACTATAGTCAAATCTTATAGCTATCATTTTGTATATAATTAATAAATCGAATAAGGTGAACACTTCTTTTTTATAATATTTCACCAAATAATCATTTAAAAAATTAATTTCACCATCAAGATAAAATAAGATAATCATTTAAAAGAATCAATTTCACCATCAAGATAAAATAAGATAAAATATACTGGCTCACATTCTCTTGTTACCATAATTCTTTCACTCCTTTAGTAATAATATAAATATAAAAAAAAGAAGAATTAAATGAACAAATTCTTATTCATGCACAACAAAGTTAGAAAGCTTGCACCAGATAAAAACTTAAGTATCCACCATTTGTGATGGATGTAATTGGTTACTTTAGCATTGTTCAACTATGATTTGTCACAACAACCCATCCATCTTAACTTCAAGAGCATAATAGCTGAATCATAAATCCAAGCCAACCTCCTACTCACCTTCAAAAGCCTCTGTAGTCAAGCAATGTCCACATCCATGGTAACTACCCAATTTTTTATATCTTCAACCACAAACAAAGGTTTTCAATATCTGGAGAGAAATGCAGATGTATTTTCTAGCAGGCTTGTGGAAACTCAAGGTTGGAAATCAGACAATTCACTATTCAGCTTTGGTAAACCCTAAAAATGGGTCACCATTTAGCACTTGTTGCTAGAAGTTTTGCAGATGCAGTAGGTGTGCCCATTTCCAACTGGGGACAAAGTGGCAATTGCAAGCATGAGGTCATTGTAGGCCATATCTGACTGGGTAAATGCTAGGTGTTGCCATCCATTCTCTTTTTTTTTCTTAAAAAAATCAATTGCATTAAAGATCAATATGATTAAATTCAAAAAAGTATGAGTTTTCTTTTTCTTTTTCTCATGACATTTTAATTTCCTAAGTATCATCGTGCTTCAAATTTCTGTTGATAGGAATAATCACTTTACATAATCATAAATTAAAATTAAAATTAAAAAAATAAATACAAACAAGATGAAACTGTGATGGCTTCTCATTTCCTTTCTGAGTTTCATATTTATGTAGCAAAAATTGGGACATTTAGTGTAATGTATATAGATTGCATGTGCACAAACAGTGTGTCTGTGTGTGATATATATATATATCTATATCTATATGGATATATGAGAAGCATGCAGCTTTGTATCAGTTGAGAGCCAGGTAATTTGGACCTTAATGCATCTAAACCCACCTTGAAGGACAGAAATGACTTCACATGGGTTTTTTCATTTTTGTTTTGTTTACATCTATTATTTTTCATATCAAATGGATTGATCATGCATTGAATCTTCCAAAGCTCTGGATACCACTTATCACTCCAATGATTAAACTGGGCTCAACTTCCAAGGCAGGGTTCCACATGGGTCTAGAAGTGAGCAGCCGCCCCTTCCTCACTCTCAAAATTGATTTAAAAAATATTTTGTTTGGAAGGCAAAATCCAGTTGCCATTTGGAGTCCAAAACATCCACTGCCTCTCCCTTTATTGAATGGGCACAGTCTTCTAATTTCACAACAAATCAACCCCATTTGATTCCAGAGACAATAATATAGAGCATGTGGGAGGTCTAGGCCTGGTGCATGTAGGCTTGGTATTTGGACATGGTTCAGAAATGGTCTTTCAAACACAAGGTTAAAGATGTTGGGACATGAAGAAAAAACGAGCTAAAAGTTTTTGGTACTTTTTGGTTCTATTACACATGGGCAGAGGAAATTTCATGTATAATTTAAAATATTGTAGAAATTTTGATTAGTCAAAAGTTGAGTAGTCTTGTAGCACTTTACACTATCTAAGAACAATGGTGTATGGAAACTGCACATGAATGGAAGGAGAAGGAAAAAAAAAAAAAAAAAAAAAAAAAAAACTCCAAATTCTATTTAAGAGCAATAATTGAAATAAAGACCTATCACATTGGCTGTTTTGGAAGTATTGTTCAAATTGCAACCAAAGGTGTTGTTCATAGATTAAAGCATCATCTTTGATTATAACCATTAAAAATAATTTAGGCATCTTATTCCGTAAAATTCCTTTTTTTAAAATCACAAATATTTTAGAATTTTGATACATCATTATTTATTGCTTTTCAAAATAAGATCAAAGTAAAAAGAAAAGAAAAAAAAGAAAAGAAATCTATATATATATATATATATATATATATATTTCTTTTCTTTTCTTTTCTTTTTCTTATTGTGCATAAGTTCTTCAAATTAAGTATGGGTATTAATATAATAATTTAGACAGATTAAATTTAGTTGTCATTCTAATCACATACAAATCTAGTGACACAACAAATTCATAATGCAAACCTTGTAGTTTGCAATTAGCATGATACATAAAATTCATTTAAATATTAATGTAAATAGTCAAGTAAAAAAACAGTGAATGTCTCTAGCTGTTATTTTTTTTGAAGTATGGTATTTATAAATTTTTAAATAAATAAAACTTTATGTATGTATATACACATATTCAAATACATAAACATTTGTATTAATTTTCTTCATGATAGAAAATAATAATAAGTTGTTGATTTTATAGCATGACAATCATGTATATATGCAAACGTACATAGATAAATAATTCCTTACATTCAATTCTTTTTATTTTACATCAATTTACTTATTTTTTATATCTGTTTTTTATTTTTAGTTTTTTAGATCACATCTTGTGCAAAGATAAAATCACTCTTTCTTTCAAACTTTAACTTTGTTTTATAACCATGCTACAATGGATGTAAGAAATATAAAAATCTCTCAATATAAATATTTCTTTTTACTCACTTCACACCATTATTCAAATTATAAAATTGCTATTGATTTATTTATTTATTAAATGTGTTTGAATTCTTTTAGTTGTAAATACAGAGCTCCCACTCAACTCAATTGTGATACACAAATTCACATTCAAAAATGTTTTTAAAAGAACTTGGATTTGATTCATTGTGAGTGTCTCTCAGGAAAAGCAACAACTATTTTAATAACGCATAGAAACATGTATTCATTCCTCTCATAAATTTTTATAATAGCTTTGATTAGCTATAAATAAACTTCAGTTGTACGTAACTACCTTAATTGCAAATAGCAATTTTGAACCATACAGCATGTAGACACGATTTTTTCACATGCATTATACTTCAATGAAAATTCAAACAAATTAAATAATTGACACCAAACAAGACCTTGTTTTGAATTTGCACAGCTTGATACTAATCAAGAACCAATTAGAAAAAGAAACCAGTCTGGAAATATTTTTATTTTTGTTTTAATGAAAATATAAATATAAAAAATGATAAATTTATTGTATATTTGAAAATGTTGGGATATTGCTAATGCCCCTACAAATTTTGATAGTGCCACCACAATTTGCCATCCACTTGAAATATTGTTTTAGTTTCTTTTACAACATTTAAGTTACTTATTTTACGTAATTTGAATAAAAAATAATATTGGAAGCATTAAAAAAATTGATTGGAATAAAAAATAAAAAAATAAAAAATATGTTGAGTGGATGGTAGGTTGTGGTGGCACTAGCAAAATTTGTAGTGGCATTAGCAATATCCAAATGCTTGTACAATTTTCGTTTGTAAAAAATTATTTTCAATGTAGTCTACATAAATAAATAAATCACTACATTGCAATTCATTGCACCACCAACTCAAATAAACAAAGACAGAGATAAATAAAGTATAAGAGAAAAGATTTGTTGCATGATATATATATGCTAATACCATCACAATTTTTTCTATTGCCACTACAACTTGCCACCCACTTGACAATTTTTTTTTAGTTTTTATTTTACTTTTATTCCAATCAAAACATTTATTCAATTAAATGGTTTAAAAAGAATTGAACAAATGAGAATTGATTAGTTTGGAAGATATTGAACAAAGATAACATGTGATGGATGGAGGATTGTGGTGGCAATAACAAAAACTGTGGTGACATTAACAATACACTCTATGTGTATATCTATCTTAAAAAAAACTCTTGCACTACTGTACTTTTGTGGTTCAAAATCCTCCAAAGTACAAATTCATCAATACCCATTCATCCATTCATCCCCGTCAATTCATCCATCATCGTCCGTCCGTCCGTCTGTCCGTCCGTCAGCAGCAGAAATCTGTTCCTTACCCAACCAGGAGGAGGGAGGAAGAGGTGCCAAATCACAGACGACGACGACGACGACGAGTCAACATGAGAATTGCATACAGCAATGAGGACGACAGTGACGACAGACAGAGACAGCAACAACAGCAACAGCAGAATCAGCACCCCCCGAAACCGCCTAGCCAGCCTCCCTCCCTCCCTCCCTCATTCGAATTTATGCCACCCTTCTACCAGTTTTCGCCGTCGCAGTAAACTTCGTCGTCGTAAATTCCAATTAGATGCTCTTCCTCCTGAGTTTCTGCAACCACCTCCACTCACACAGGATCGGCATTCCTTATATAAATCCATTGTCCCCTTTGTCTCCTTTAGCTGACAATCCTTGTCCCTCTTCTCTCTGCAAATCGTTGTCTCTCTACCAGCTCAACTCTTCCTCTGTGTTGCCACTGCCCTCCTGTGGTCTGTTTCGGTCGATTCCTTGATCGAGTCGAAGGAGCGTCGTTAATTGTGTTCCCTTGCTGTTTCCTTAATTTCTGAAGTTCTCGCGAGATCATTTTGGTTGTGTACCCTGATCGCAAGTTCGTGGTAATCAGTTGAATCTTATTGTGGTTTTCGAGTCGAGCGCTTCATGATAGATGTTCAAGTGTTGGTTTCATCTTGGTTTGTTAGTGGTTACTGTTTGCTTTTGAAGCAATTGTTTCGCCAGTTCGAGTCGAAGCCTTCGTGTCGTTGCGGATCCAGATTTTGCGCAGTAGTTGGTGGGAGAGTGGGAGGTCATTCCGAATGTTTGGTCACTGTGCAATTTGTGTCTTACCGAGTAATTGTGCATCGTGCGTTGCATTGGTGCTAAATGTTGTTTGATTGACGTCTTCTCTTTGCCTGACCCTCGTCAGTTCGAATTTTTACCTCTTATTTCCTCAAGTCAGGACGTTGTTAGCAATCAGTCGTGAGACGATCATAAGTAGTACATCTCTTCTTCTCCTTTGAGGACTGTGCAGAATTCATTCCTTTCGAGCTTCTGCATTTGAAGATTTCACAGCTTTCCCGAGGAATTTTCAAAGACCACTGAACCGAAATATATAAGGCTGCATTTTTACAGCCAGAATTTGCTTCACTTAAGAATCCTCACAGAGCCCGCCACAGCAGTTTACTTCACATAGCGCTATCATCTCCCAACCCGTTGTCAAATATCTTCATAATCTGGGAGGGCGTTTAGAATTTACCAGTTCTTGAGCATACGGGTCAAGCGGAGGGTTCGAGGTAGAAAAGTAGCGAAAATAGGGAAACCATATCTCGCCCCTTGTGCGCCCCCGGGCACGTACCCGCCGGCGCCAAGTTCTCCTGGAGATGAGATGATGTGGCGTTGTCATGGGGCTACGAACGCCGAGCTGATCTCCAACTTGCAGAGTACGCGCACGATTGCCCCTATTCCTGCATCCCATTTTCATATTTACACGTCTGGGTGATTGACGCAGAGTTCATGCTTTATTGAGACCCATCCAAGTAGAGACGTGAATTGTTTCAGTTGGTTTTGAACAAATAAAATCTCATCGAAGCATTGTTAAAGTGAATTGAAGTGCCATAACTGAGAAGCGCCGTGATGATTGTAACTTCCAGTTGAGTTCTTCTAGGTTTTCCCTTTCCATCTTCACTTCTCTTAGTGCCTGCTCTCTCAAGAATTAATTTAACGCCTTACTGTGCGCATCCACAGACCACAATATTCTCACTTCACCAGAGGCGGCCTTTGCCATGTGCAAAGTGGACAGGAGGCTATTTGTCCCTGATGCCAGATTGGCTTACAATGATGCTCCCCAAGTCATAGGTAATGTCTCCAAAGCATGCAATCAGGGAATAAGCGGGTTTACTTACCCTCTGCAAATCAGTATGCTGATTCTATTTGAGATACTTGACACAAAGGATTGGTAGAGCTGACGTGTGTGTTACTCTCGTCGTGGAGCTTTCAGGGTATGCAGCAACAATTTCTGCCCCCCACATGGTAGGGTCCCTCTCTTCGCAGCCGCTAATTTGATGGTTCACAACGCACGATTCCTTTCTGTGATTATAATTGAAGGGTGGGTATGTTGGATATAAGATTTACTATGAAGTCAAATTTATTTTAACTTCTGTCTTTTTTTCTGCAGCACTCGTTCTGTCTATCTCTGTTGGCTGATTATCTGAAGCCTGGAAACGTTGTCCTCGACGTTGGTTCTGGATCGGGTTACCTCACCGCTGTATTCGGCCTTATGGTATTTACCTCGAACTGGAAGTGCTGCCGATCCTTTAAAAAATAGCTGAGATCAATGTGTTTTGTAAGTTTTTTGGCGTGATCTCAATAAGAATAAAACAGTCTGAGAATGAAACAACGCATCGGGAGTCGGTGCAATTTGTGACTGGTTTTCACGTATTTGGATATTTGGTACTGCAGGTAGGAGAGACTGGTCACACCGTAGGAGTTGAACGCATTTCGGAACTGGTTGAACGGTCAATTGACGCAATAAAATCGACTCCAGCCGGATCATTGCTGGAAAAAGGCCATCTTGTTGTTCATGGTACTCAGTTGCGGCCATCTTCTTTGCCCTCTTGTCTTTCAATACGATCTGGCCTATACATTGCTTGATTGGAGTTTGTCCAGGGTCAAGATTTTTGGAGTATCTCATCTTTGACGAACGGGATGCTATAATGGTTTGTAGTTGCCGATGGAAAGCTTGGTTGGGAGGCATGTGGACCTTACGATGCCATCCACGTGGGAGCAGCAGCAGCAGGTTCTGCCTTCTTCCCTAACGATGTACTGCAGTAGTTGCTTTTGTTCCTCGAGAAAACTCTATCGAAAAATGATGGTAATTCGTAGTTTTGAATCCATTTGTTGCTTAAATGGACAGAACTCCCAGAAGCTCTTGTGAGGCAGCTGAAGCCAGGTGGTCGCATGGTCATCCCTGTTGGAACCAATTCCCAGGTAGCCTTTTGGACGAATTTTTTTCTCTAATAAACACAGCCTCTCGCGCACGCCAATCTATGCATAATGAATTTTCTTACTTGCTTACCACCAAAAAATTAGTTTTCCGATGTTTTATCTAGTTCAATATTTGGACATAGGTCAACTCAGTTTTAAAAACCTTGTGGAGACTTTTCCTTACTGATCGGGGTTGTGCAATCCATAGTCGATTGTAAGTATTGAGTGTCGAAGCTGACGTGCTTTAAGTGGTCTTTCTATTCGGTATCATTTTTAATTTCCTTAAACTACTTAACATTATTTCCTAACTTACACCTTTAAATTTTCTTGCTACAAAGCTTAACTTCACTGCCAAATTTCTAAGTGGGTGTAAAGGTGTTGAGAATTTGAATGTAATACTTCAATACGAGGGGCCACTCATGATTCAAGATTTCGTTGAAACATTAATATTGAGATGTGAAGGTTTAAGGAGGTGTTTCACACACAGCCAATGCTCCACCCCTGGACAAGATGGCTCATGACTCCCTTGTATAGATGATTCTGAATTTGACTCAATCTGTTGCACTTCTGGTTTGAAATTTTCAGGAACTTGTTATTGTTGACAAGTCACTCGATGGGACTGTGAAGAAGACCAACGAACTGGGCGTTCGCTATGTGCCACTCGTCTAGACTCAATCACAGTGCTTTGCACTCATGGCGTTTCGAACATCTGGAGTATTCCATCACCTGTAGAGCCATATGGAACTTCGCTTTTCGGCCCCGTACGGCACTAGTAATCCCTGTGGAGCTCTATTCTCGTTGCTCTTCCTCTGTAGATAATTTATCACGCTCTGCCGAATAAGGATGTCTAGTTTTTGATCCCACTTGTTGCCTAAGTGGAATTGTTGTTCATTCAAATTTTTGACCGGTCTTTGCTGTGCGCTTACTTCGGTGTGGAAGACAGTCTTCGAATTTTTGCACATTTATCTTTTGCCATACTATTTGCTACACGTAAAGTGGTATCACCTGGTGTCACTAAGCCTAAGTCTATGAATGAGGATTTCATTGTTCTATCTGATGAATAAAGACTGTTTCTTCTCAATTGTGTAACAGAAAACCTTTTGAATACTCTATGGACAGCTTTGATCTTTCAGTGAGAGAATATTGGAATCTATATTGTTGCTTTCGACCACACTTTATCTAGATCATTAGTATTTGACTTTTGTCTCTACTTTAAGCTTGTTTGTATTGGGTAAATTTTTTGTGTTATTTCACAATTAAGGCTAATACTACCGGCTTTCTCATGGACTCTCAAACAAGGCTTTTCCTCAAAAACCTAGGGTGACAAAACCGAATTGTTTCAAGTATATAGTGGGAGGAGTTGAAATCCGTTTTCTGACGTTTCAATCAAAATCACTCGCTTAAAAGTGGGAAACTTTTGGACCATACGGGATGATTCTGAGTACCATTCATGCATGTTGTTGAACAGTTCACTCATACCAATATTCTTGGTAATTTTTAAAATTGGGTTCTTCGGATCTGGGAAAGTATTCGGGTGATACTCCGGTGATTCTGGAATCGGTCAGGCTGAAGGTCCTTTCTCATTTCCTAAATTAACCTCTCCATGGGAGAGGTGGCAGTTTGATTTATTAATTTAGTTTTTATACATCATATAGTCGGTATCTCTGTGCTAATTTCTTTTTCAAGTAGTGTGAAATTTTTACAGCTAGGATTTAAACCATTAATCTCTTGGTATCAAATTGCCATCTTTATGCAGTTTGAGGTCATTACAAATTGCAATTTGATGAATCTTCCACAAAAAAACACAATGTTGGTTTGTGACTTGGAAGTACTTACAAAGCAATAGTCTTTTAATAATAAGCTAAAAATTGTCATGCTATAAAATTGCTTGCATTTAAGTTTGAATTAGTCAATGGTAGAATGAGGAAAATGGTGGTAGATAGAGGAAGAAAATTTAATGTTGTGAACATAGCTGTAGGTCTGAATTTTAAGATATCTTATTTAAATATTTTTAATAAGTGTTAAGTTGTGTTTGGATGACAAAAATTAAAGATATTCTTTTATTACATAGCCATGAAGACATATGTAAAAATTAAAAATTATGTTACAAGTTATTTATCAAAAATTACTATTTATTTATTCGTTCTGTTGTAAATATAAAATAACAATCAAATATGTTAAAGCACATTGTAGGTACAAAACCTAAATTTCAGTACCACAAAATCTTTGAATTTATATAGCTTAGAATAAAACTATTAATGAAACTACACCATCTGCAATCGCAAGAAGAGATTCACAACAATCACAAAAAAGATACAACATACACATTTATTATGCTACTATTAGATATAATAATTTCAACAACATGAACTATTTTCACTAATTGTATCAATAATAAAAACATAAGACATACTTTAAGATATCTTATTTACTAAAAGAAGCAAAAAAGAGAGTGCAAAATTGCAATAAAAAACAAGTACACTATTAGAGCATCCGACACAATATTGAAACCGTCTTTTTCTCACACTAATGCTATTTTTTCTCTCCCTCGTACTCAATTTCAAATTAAATATACTTTGAATCATTTCATTATATACCAGTGTTTTTTTAAAAAACATTTTCCTCATTCTTCTGCTTAAACTTCCTAATAATGACCACAACGAACCAATTCTGAATCGAGATACAACCACTTACAAGCAAGTTCAATTGGTTACTGACCGCAGGTGCATTCCAAAAAAGAACAAGCAATGGCTCAGAGGTTGAGATAAATCGCTTTGTGAAACCCTAATTGTAGATAAGCACTTTTAACGAAGCAGTTGTGAGAAAGCGCGAATGAGTTGACTATGTAAATCATCAGGTCATGTAATCGAGCGTTGAGAGAGGAAGGTGACTGATAAGACAAAACTGCAGCTTATCACACTCACTATCCAGGGGATGAGATCGAATTACACCATATTCACGAGCTTGGTTCAACAGCTTTATTCCCTTCTTTCTAGATGAACATTCTAGATGAACATTCCTTACCACCTCCCCATCCCAGAATTTCACATGACAAGTATCCATCACTATTGAGATCGACAAAACAGCTTCAATGCCTGTCACCCAATCCCGAGTCGAAACAATGGTCTGTGGAGAAGAGAGAACTATAGCTCATCGAAGTTCACCTCATCCAGCAGCCAAACTGTTGCATCGCAGGGCGAACCTGTCGCTTCCTCTGGACCCTTGGATCGAACACCAGCAATGCGTGGACCAGCCGTTGAGTAGGCACCGGTGAGTAGGCTCCTAGGACACATACGGAAGTCCTAAGCCTTCGTGGCGCCCGCATGCTCTTGGACTAACACATGCCATTGCCTTTGTTCGCTCCCGCAATTTTCTAGTCAAATGGACCAGTAGGCAGCGTCGAGGCCAATGTGAATGTTGTCATGTGAAGCTGGCTGTGAGTTTGTTGAACAGTTTCAAGAAGGCGTAATCATGGTGCGCTTTTTCAATTACGTTGAGTCTTAATACATCGCCCCACTTCGAAGACATTGCTGTGATCTATTTGATAACTATGCAGTCCGTTTTTGTGAATGTGTGAGAGGGTGGTGTTTTCAGTGCCGCTGTTGCAAGCCATTCTGAGAATCGACGAGTTAAGAGACGGAGTTTCGAAAGTTCTGTCCGTGTAGATGGCGGCGCCTTCGCAGTTTCAACGTTGGCAACAAAATTTAGAAAGTGGAATGTGCAAGTATCATTGCATCGTGTCCAAGATTGAGTTTCTTGGATCTCATCACCATTTTGAAGGTACGATTGTCGGTTTACTGGAATCAAGTATTTCTGTGTCGTGAAAGTTCTTTTCCGAACTGAGATGGAGGCACACGAAAATTCCAGGCACTTCGAGCTTCATATGATTTGGATAGTTGCCAGATACATTGGCAGTTTAACCTGAGAGTATTCAACAGCTTCAATAGGTTTGTAGAGATTGTAGGAAAAATTGTAGTCTATTGCTGATTAGATTTAAACTGGTAATGGAAAAATCTTGATAAGTAACGTTTCATGCTATGCAATGCATTTTCCGGAGGAGCAGGTCATAGGCGGAGGCTTGCTCTACATGAACTACTAACATTTGCAATATAAATTGTCTTCACAATGATGTGTGTTTGTTGCTCAGATTTCCTTTAAGTATTACCATTTTTAGCCTAAAGCAAGGCATCTTTCTAAGAAAAGAAATCAATAGTATGCCCTTGCTTGAGAATGGCTCAAGCCTTTTCCCACATGTGTTGTTTTTAGAGGCGCAAAAATCAGGGAACTTCTAATGTCCTAGTGTAACTAGAAATCGCGATTACACCATTATAGAATTCGGTTGTGCTTCATTTTGGTAATATTTACTGCGTATTATTCGATTCTTCTTTACAAGACTGCCCTTGCTAAATAGAATAAAAACATTCAATCAATGACCTAGTTAAAACCTCAAAAATTAGTTCTTCGTAATTTCCTGTTAATACCGATAATATTGTATTACAATGGTTTTTTCAGTTTTTGTTCCATTATTTCTTTTACGTACTTTCCATGTATCTACCGTTTAATTTGTCTTTCCACATTCCCCAGCTGTTTCAGAGCAACCGGCAGCGAGTGTAGAAAAGGAAGTAGAGAGAAAATGCTGGCGCGGTTTAACGAAATTGATAACCGTGTACGGAAACATTTTTTTAACAAGTGGCAAGAAGCAGACCAAATTTGTGTGCATTTCAACTTCGAATGTAGTCACACCTGAACAAGATGGAAGATCTTTCAATGTAAAGGAAGCAAACAAGGTATCTCTTTAACCTCAACAAAGGTATTCTTTTCGAACCCTTCTTAATCAACGTTGTGTCAAAATTAATTTCCATTAAGAATGAGCAGCTTCGCCTCAAGAGACTCCGTTCTTTTTAACACCAAGTTGACAGTAGACCTGCAAGCTAACGAACACAACATAACAAATTAAAAAGTAAGCATAATAACACAAGTAAGAAAATGAAGGTGTGATGGTTCTTGTGTGGTATATTGAAAATAAGTGCCATAGCTATTATGCAATTTGGACTTTGTTTGAAAGATTTGACAAATATTCTTTAACTTAAATTTTTTTAAATTGGTTTTTTTGTAATTTTATTTTAATTTTATTTTATATATTTTAAAAATACCTTAATTAGATATCAACAGCTTCAACTCTTTTTTTAAAATAAATTATTATTTTTTAATATGTATATTTAATTATAAAATTTAATTAAACAATTCCAAATCAAATCTTAGATATTATTCTACAATTTTGTCTATTATGTCTTTTGTTAATTTTTTTGATACTTACAAATAATACTTTAAAATATAAAGTTTTATTATTTAATTTTTTATTTATTTGTTTGGTTTTTCATTTTGATGGAAAATAGCATAAATGATATTTTTTTAGTTTTATTATATTCTTTTTATATATCAAACTAGTTATTAACTGCTTAAACACTAGAAGTACAAATTAAATAAAAATATATTTTTTAAAAAATTCAATTGAATTTGATCAATGCTTGATTAGAATTTTTAAGCTTTAATAAAGATTTATTTAAGATTCTATTAGAATTATTACAACCTTATTGTTGCAATTTCTATTTTACCTTCTACAACCAAGTGTTTAATATATTATCAAGCAAGAGTTTACATAATATAATAATGTGTCACAAATATATTACTTACTTTAATAATTATTTATATAATTTAAATAAATAAAAATAAATAAAAGTAAATAAACTTGATAATATCTTATAAAAAAGCTTCCTAGAAGCTTCGTAGATGTAGTTTTGCCTTTATATATATCTATAAGTAATTGGTAGTTGAAATCTTGGCTAAAAAGTTAGCCACATGTTGTATGTATTAATAGCTTGTGGTACAAGCTAACCATGTTGTACACATATAGAAAACTTCTCTTGTAAATTAGACATGTATTATATAAGTTGGACATATATTTGAGGTCCTACAAATCATTGCTACATAGTTTTTAATTAGATAGTACATATAGAAAATGCATCACTTAATTTACAATATAAGAGTGAGGCCTTTATTACTCTTATTGATTCTTTTATAGCTTTTAGTTTAGTTTCAAGGATCTATAATATTCTTATCTTTTGGCAATAGTCATTTTGATTTTTTTTTGAATATACATATTTCATTATTTATTTTTTGTCACTTTTCTTTAAAAAATATTGCACTTATTTATTTGTATTTATAAGTTCTTGTTCTTAATACATTAATAAGAATATCCTTACAATATCAAAGTTTTGTCTTTTCTTGATTAAGAGTAGAAAATCTCTTTTTCTTGATAACACATAAGTATATTAGAAATTACGGATTACCTCCTTTAAAACTAATATTATTCTTAGTATTTTTAAAATTTTCAAGTCTTTTCTTCTACTTGTCTTCAATGATATTAGACGTCTTTTTTTCTATTTTATTATCATGATAAATCTTGTTGAAATAAAGAAAAAAAATAACACAAATAAAAGAGCAGTTGAAAAAGTTAATGTTTATAATGCATCAACTCAATTTACCACCACAAGCAGCAATAAGATTGGTAAGGAGTGAAGATATAGAAATGATTAGAATTGCTTCAATATCTATACCAAATCATATTACTTCTTCTATATTGGAACATCTTTCAAGTATTAGAGAACCAAAAGTATCTTGCTTGAGAAGTTTGATGGTACAAAATCAAAATTTTAAAGATTCATCAATAAAGTACAACTTATGATTGAAATTCAATTCCAAAGCTATTTTATTTTAAAATCACAAATTAGATTTATTGATACACTTTTTTCAAGTTCTATATTATCATGGTTTTTATTTTATTTTAAATGACATGATTCAATTTTGAATAATTTGGAGGTTTTATTGGCAAAATTTTGATTCATATGTGGGGAGCATAATGCAATTTGTGTTGCAACCAACAAGATCCTTATTTTACAAATAGATAATTTATTAGTAATGTTGTATGTTTTATAATTTCAACAACTTGCAATTGATATCAAGTGAAATGATGTTGCACTTATTAATCAATTTTTCTACAAATTATAATATGTGATAAAGAAATTAATGCTCAACTTACTTGATCTTCAAACACTAAGTCAAACAATTGACTATATTGTGAAGTATGACAATTCATTTTTTAAATTTTGATATAAGAGTCACATACATAGACCTCAATATTTTTATAATTTAATGACAATACTAACATCTTTTTAATACATATATTTAAAAATAGAAGATATACAAATTAATGCCATATATTTTAAACTTCTTATTGAATAAAAAAAGATTCGTCATCAAAAAAAAGATTGTGCTTATATTATAAAGAATCTAAGTACACTATTCAACATTTTTTTAAAAAGTGACGCAACCACAAAATAAAAAGTATGGTTGTCAAAAAAAAAAAAAAAATGTCAAAAAATAAGTTTGTCTATCTACAATAAGTACCATGCAATTAGAATCTTGTACAATACCTAGTAAAGGTCTTATTTTCTTCTCAAAATTCTCACTTTGTTTTATAATAGATGTTAATTTAGGACCTAAATATCACCAAGTCTCTACTTTGCTAGATTCAGAAGTTTCAACATGTGTTTTAGATGAAGAATTTATTAAAAGATATAGCATATTTTTTATAAAAAAATAAATCTATTTACATAAATATATTTATTATATATTATTTTTATTATCTTTTGGAGATGTTATTTATAAAATCTTTTCTATATAAATAGTAATTAATCGTTATAATAACTTTATAATATTTAATATAATTATATCTCTTTTAAATCAAATCATTTTAGATTTATTGAGGCTAATAAAGTATAATCTTCAAATAATTTGGATTTCTTATAGTCTTAACTTTTTTCAAAGTGTAACTAAAAGTTTTTTTTAATCATGTAGAAAGTTATAAGTCTAGTACAACCAAACCTTTATTTATAAATAGACAAGCTTTCTTGCATATTACAAAAAAAAATCATCTTATATTATTTATATCATATTTATTTTAATGGTAGAAATACTTTAAGTTGTATTTTAAGCCAATAGCAAAATTATCAAGATATTTTTGAAAAATAAAAATATGAATATTCTACTAGAGCATCATTTCTATGATTGCTCAATCAATCTTCAAGAAGGAATTCAATTGCTATTTAGACATATCTACAATTTATCACAAAAAAAATTTGGCTAAATTCAAGGAATAAATTAATAAAAATTTAGCCAAAATTTTTATATATCATTCAAAATTTCTAGCAAAATCCTTTTCTTATTTGTGAAGAAAAAAGATAGATTATTATTGATGTGTGTGGATTATTAAAGACTCAATAAGATCACTATGAAGAATAGGTATCCTCTAATTTTAATATCAATGGTTCTTAATTAATTGAATCAAGCTAAAATCTATTTTAAAATAAATCTATAAAGAACATAAAACCTATTATGCATTAAAGAAGGAGATGAATAAATTATAGCATTTTAAACCAAGATAAATATAATGTCATACTTTTTTGCCTCACTAATATCCTAGTTGTTTTTCAATATCTTATAAATGATGTCTTTCAAGAGTTTTTAGATAATTTTTTTATCTATTATTTAAACATCATAATTTATTCTAAGAACACAAAAAAAACATAAACTTTATTTTTGTCATGTATTACAAAAATTTAGAGATGCAAGTCTATATGCCAAAAAAAAAAGTGTGTATTTTATACTACTTAAGTTGACTTCTTAAGATACATCATTTTAAATGATGACCTTATGATGGATTCCAAGAAAGTTCAGACTATCATGAATTGAAAAGTTCCAAAAATATAAGAGATGTGAAATATTTTTTGAAATTTTCTAATTATTATTAGATCTTTATTAAGAATTTTTTTTAAGTTGTAGTTCACTTACACATTTAACCTATAAAAAAAACTTAAGTAGAGTAAAGAAATTGGAGCCTTGTTTGAAGCTTAAAAGATAATTTTTATTTTTGCATCAATTTTAAACTGCATTGATTTTTTCAAGGAATTTTGTATAGAAATAAAAACATTGGACTTTATTTTGTATATAATATTTTTATAAATGAGAGTAGATGACAAATTCCATCTTATTGATTTTCATTCAAGAATTTTTTAAAGAATAGAAATTAACTACAAAATCCATAATGAAGATTTTTTTATAATTATAGATTTATTTCAAGAATGATGCCATTATTTAGAAGATGCTTAAAATCTAGTGATTATTTATACATATTATAAAGGTCTTAAATATTTCATATTAGTACGTATTCTAAATTGTCACCAAGCTTATTGAAACATATATTTATTAAGATTCAAATTTAAGATCATGTTTAGCTAATATATATATATATATATATTTTCTATTTTTTTAGATATTCTTATCTTATACTAAAAAATGAAGATATAGCTTTTATTTAATAATAAACTATTTTTTTTGAAGCCCTATCAATTTTATCTTTGAGTAATAAAATCAATATTGATTATTGATTCAATCTTTTTTAAGTAAGTCCAATCAATTATGTCATTTGATCTTCTTATTCATGATATTAAGAACAATCATTATTAATCTTATGATAATTTTAATTTTAAATTCAATAATAATCTATCATATTTTAAGAGACATTTATATGTTCCGAAAATTAAAGTATAATTACATATTTTTTAACCTCATCACAACTTTCCAACAATAAGATATTTTGAATATAATAAGACTTTAGAGGTAATATCTAAAGATTTTTGGTAGTTTCAAATGTCAAAAGATTTTTTTATTTTTATTTTATTTATAATTATATAATACTTATTTAAGATTAAAAACTCCTTGTCATTGACTTTATCGACTTTTTAGCCATTACTTACATCAATACAACCATGGTCTTTTGTTTCTATGGATTTTATTATATATTTACTAATTTCAAGTTCATACAATCATATATTTGTGATAGTAGCTCATTTTACTAAGATGGCATATTTTGTATCATATATAAAATTAATCATAAATAAATAAAAAATCAAATTTTTTCTTAATAATATTTATTGCTATAATAGATTGTCAAGAGATATTATATCTAATAGAAGGACATAATTTGTATTAAGGTTTTAGAGAACCTTTTTCAATATATTGAAGATGGATATAAAACTAGCTTTTTTTTCTATTCTCAAATTGATTGACAAACATAATAGATGAATCAAGTTTTAGAATAATATTTGAAGTATATCATCAATTACCATTAAGATAATTAGAATTTTTTTCTACTATTGGAATTTATTTTTAATAATATGATATATTTTTTATTTTTATTTTTATTTTTAATTAATTTTAGTTATTATTTTTAACTTGATATTTTTAATTTTTTAAAAGTTAATAATCTTGTGAAAAAATATTTAGAATTTTTTTTATTAGAGCTACATGTAATAATAAAGGCACAATTAAAAGAAGGTCAAGTATGAAAAAAGATCAATGCAAAAACAATCT